ATACCCGAATGTCACTTCCCAGTGTCACTCCCCAATATCACCTCAATGTCTCCCCCCATTGTCACTCCACCATCACCCCAATCTCACCACAGTATCAGCCTTCAGTGTTACTCCAACAATATCACCCTCCCAGTGTCACTCCAGCATCACTCCTTGATGTTAAACTTCAATGATACCCCAGCATCACTCCAGTGTTGCCCCCTAGTGTCAGCCAACATCAACCCTGTCACCTCAGTGTCACCCCAGCTGTCAACCCCAGTGATACCGCAACATTACACCCCAACGTAACGGCAGTATCACCCCTAGCATCTCCCCATAGTGTCACCCCCTGGAGTCACTCTGATGTGACAACCACAGCATCAGCCCCCCAAGAGTCAACTCAGTGCCACTTCAACATCACTCCAGTGTGCCCACCCCAGTGTTACCCCAACAAAGTCATCCAGCAGACTCCTTGATGTCACCCCCCAGTGATAACCCAACGTCACCTCAGCATCACCTCAAAAATGTCACCACCCACAACATCACCTCAACATCACTCCTTGATATAACTCCAGTGATATCCATCACTCCACAATAATGCCACCCCCCAATGTCACCCCCCCAAGAATGTCAGCGTGACCCCAGTGTCATCCCATTGTCACCCTGAAGGGACACCCCACCATCATTCCCCATAATCATGCCTCATATCACCCCAATGTCACTCCATGCCAACCCCTCACAATGTCCCCCCCAAGCGATACCCCAACATCACCCACCAACATCACTCCTGTGACAGCACAAAATTATCACCCCCATGTCAGGCAGTATCACCTTCCAGCATCCCCCGAACAATGTCACTCCTTGATGTCATCCCCTAGAGATACCCCAATATCATCCCCAACAATTAATCACCCCGTATCACTCCAGCATCACCCTGCAGCAATACTGCCCAACATCAACCCAGTGTCACTTCAACATTCCACCCCAACAATGTCACCCCAGCACCACTGTCACTCAAGTATCTCCCCTCAGGCATCACTCCTTGACATTAAACCCTACTGAAACCCAACATCCCTCCCAGCATCATCACCCCTCAGTGTCACTCCCTGGTGTTACCACCCAGTGATAACCCAACATCACCCTCCAACATCCCTTCCCAGCATCACCTCTGCAACAGCATCGCCCCTTGATGTTAAACCCCAGTGAAACCCCATCACCCTCAACACCACTCCCCAGTATCACCACAGCATCACCATAATCCCCATAAATAGGAAGTAGAACCTCCCTAAACAAGTGCACTATTACTTTCTGACCCTTGAGAGATGGCGAACCGCCAAAAGGAGAGAGAAGGAACATGCCAGCGGTGGAAGTGATAGGCAACGCCTATGATACCTCAGTGATATCCCAACATTACACCTCAATGTAACGGCAGTATCACCCCCTAGCATCTTCTTCCCCATCAGTGGACGTCCCCTGCTTCAAAGGGCACTTTGCCTTTCATCTCCACTGCAGCCTCTCTCCTTCTTTGATTCTCTCCAGGGTCTGCAGGGTTTGTTCCATTGCACACTGTACCAGTGTGGCCAGCACATGGTACAGAGCCCAAGTGGAAGAGAACCCCCAACAGCCTTGCCCCCAACAACCAACCTCACCCTCAACATTAATCCCTGATTTCCCCCCCATGCTACCCCAACATTACTCCAACAATGTCACCTCCCACTGTGACTCCCAGCATCACCCCAGCATTCCCATCCCACGTCACCCCAACAGCAACCACCCAGTCTCACCTCAGCATCACCCCACTGCTCCTCCCCAGCACCCAATGTCACCCCCCAGTGATACCCCAAAATCACCACCCACTGTCACTCCCCAACCTGAACCCAACATCACCCCAGTATCACTCCCTGATGTCACCCCCCAATAATGTCACTCCCTAGGAATACCACAACATCACCACTGTGCCATTCCATCAGTCCATGGTCACCCCCCAACATCACCCCCTGATGTTGCCCCATAATCACCCCAACGTCTCTTGTCTCTCCCCAACTTCTCCCCCCATCCTCACCACTATCACCCCCATCACACCTCTGCCCCCACCATCACCACCATCATCCCAATCCCCACCCCCCCAAACCATCACCACTGTCACCCCCATCACCACCACCGTCACCATCACAGTTCATCCCCATCACACTCCCCCACCACCATCACATCCCCAACCATCACCACTGTTTTCAACCCCCCACCGTCACCCCTACTGTCACAGCCTACCCCCACCATCACTACTGACACTCGCCCGTCACCATCACCACCACTGTTAACCCCCACCACCGCAGTCACTGCCACCATCACCCCACTACCACCACTGTTACACCCTTCATGCCTCTCTCCACACCACAGTCACCCCCCCCACCACTATCACTCCTTGCTGTTAAACCCCACTGATATCCCAACATCACCCCAACATCACTCCCAGCATTGTCAACCTCAGCACCCCCCAACATCAACCCCAGCATCACCTCTCAACAACATCACCCCCACATCAGCCAACAGCTTCACCTCCCCAAGTGTCATCCCTTGATGTCACTCCCCAGTATCACCTGTGTCACCATAATCCCCACGAACAGGAAGCAGAACCTCCCTAAACAAGTGCACAACATCACCCCCAGTGTCACCCCGTATCACCCCAATTTCACTCCAGCGTCACCCCCCGAGCTTCACTTCTTGATGTCAATCCCAGCCACACCCCACCAGCACTCCCCAGTGTCACTTCCAAACATCACCGCAGCATCTCTCCCTGTTGAAACCCCCCTAGGGTAGGGATAGCCCAATATCCTTCCTAGTAATGTCACCCCAACAATGTCACTCATTGCTGTTACCCCAAGCGGTAGCCAAACATCACCACCCAATGTCTCTCTCTTGTCACCCCAACATCATTTCCTGATTCCTCCCTCAGTGATACCCCAACATCACTTCCCTCCCAGCATCACCTCAATGTCACCCCCCCAACAACATCACTCCTTCATCTCATCCCCTAGAGATACTCCAACACCACCCTACAGCATCACTGCACAACCTCAACCCAGTTTCACCCCAGTGTCACACCAGTGTGCCCCCACCAGTGTCACCCCAACAATGTAACCCCAATATCACTCCCTGATGTCACCCCCCCAGTGAACTCCAACACCATCCTAATCTTATCGCAATGTAACCTCCCAGCTTCACTCCAACAATGCTACTCAAAAAAAACCCAACATCACCCCCACCAGTAATTACCTCCTGTAATGCTACAACGTAGTGGAAAATGCAACAACAATAGCATTAATAGGTTGCAATAAGTGAGGACTTGCTCAAACACAGCAGCTATGAATGCAAAAACAAGGAACAAAATCTGCTTAACTTCAAAAGACCTCAAGCAATCAGGGACCTCCAGCAAAAGCCTCTCTTTCCCGCTGCCAACACTTAAATGACGCCTGGGAGGGGGTGGAGCCAGGATCCACCCCTTCCATCACTCAGGTGTGTTTCATGCACCTGAGCTCCTCTGGTTTGTCCCTCCTCAATCATTGTTTCAAGCTACAACTTAGGGTCTCCACTACATTCCCCCCAACAATGTCACTCCAACATCACTCCCTGATGTACCCCCCCATGATACTCCAACATCACCCCCCAGCATCACCCCCCCCACATCATCCCATCCCAGTGTCACCCCAGTGTCACCTGCAGAGTCACCGATTTTAGAAAGTCAGGCAATTTTACCAATTGCCTTTGAGGACAGACTTGAATCAAAATATGTGTGCCATTGTTGCTCATCCACTGATAAAACTCCCCTTGCCAGACAGGCAGATCCAATCGCCTGCTTGTTAAAAGCCTTTTTTTTTTTTTTTTTTGCTGCAGGCCTTATGGGAACTGTTAGGTCACAGACTGAAGCAGTGATTGAGCACCTGGTGAGGGGTGTAGCCAGCCCTGTGAGCACAGGTGGAAGCAATTCACCTATGGGACCGGATAGGGCTGACCTTGGCT